TGTTCCATTTGAAAAATCAAAGAAGCCGCTACTTTATAGTAGAAGCGACAACGCCGCTTCGTCTAAAATATTTTAGGCGTGTAGGTCATATTGACTTATGCATACTGTGGAATTTTCAGGTTGGTCCGTTGAATAGTTTGCCAGAAACGGCTAATTAACGCTCATCATGAAAAGCCCTGTATAGTTTCTGAGATATCAGCTTTTTCAATTAGTAGTTCTTATTTCAATGCATTCTTCGAATCGAAATAGCTTTGAATGACATTAATTTGATTTGCTCTCCGACTTATCATTGACAGTTGTTATACTTTACTCCATCGAAAATGAAGTTATCATTTACATTCATATTCTGGCAGTAAATCAATGAACAGGCCATACAATTCTTTATTATTAAACTGAAACAACAACAAAATATGAAACACAAATGAATCTGATTGAAAGTAGGTGCCCGAAATGACGACTGTCCTGTTGAATACAAAGATCCACTCTTTCTTTGCAGCCCTTATTCATTCTTTCATATTTTCCAGTGTGGTTGGCGGAGTGTCGTAAACCTCACCTTTATATTTTTTGGCAATGTCTGACTACGGTTTGATCGTGATATCATGAGTTGGCAGTTAATCATTTATACATTTCACAAATAAAAAACTTGTTTAAAATTCTTGCATTTTTTACACTCTCAAGCGGTTGCAATTGGTGAAGGTTAGATTAATACAATATCAATCGATATGAACCTCAATCGATATGTAAGAACGTATCAAAAAACGCCTCCTTGAAGTGACCGCAGCTAAAAAATCCTTTCGAACCTTATTCGAATTACATAACGTGTTTAAGAAATCAGGAAGCGAAAGTTGTTACTTTTTATAAGAAAATTGTATCAAACACGGTGACTACGGATTCTCAGCATCAATACGTTTTTTTAGTCAGTGTTAGATTAATCGCCATTTAATTTATTTTTTCTAATTATTTTAATAGCCGAAAACGTTCGTCCAAAAACTCTTTCACCCGAACATCAAAATTTGGGGGTGCACCATCAATAACGACAATTATGTCTAGTAACTTCACCATTCAACATGACAGAACTTTCGTATTGTATAATAGGTAACGATTATTGGTCAATATCTTGCTGAACACCTCACAAAACTGAAGTCGATGATCAGGATCATCCTCGTTTAATTCCCGAACTAGCTCTATTTTGAAAGAATTGAATTTGTAGACTTTTAAAATGTGAAAAACACTAGTAGCTGATACACCAGACGCTCTAGCTACTCGTCTGATAGATTGTGGATTATCCATTTGTACATGTCATTTCTGACAGGACGGGATACTGCATGTTTTCTGTTATGAAGAGAACTTGAAGTTCGAAACTTATCCATTAACTGTTTAACGTATTATGGCTCACGTTGTCGTCTGGATGATTCGTATTATGAATTCTGGCAGCAACTTTAGCACATTCATTATTTCGATAATAGCTTGCAACAATTTCTATTCTTTCTTCAGTAGAATAAAACATGTTGGAAGAGAATGAACAAGGATGACTAAATAATAATTCGTGAAGAAATGACAGTGGCCAACTATCTACTTTTTGTTCAGCGGCAACTACATTCAATAAACATTACCAGTGCAGAAAAAACTAACAGTGTTGTCCATTTCAAAACGTTTACTACTGATTGAATAATATCTACAAATCTAGAAGACCTGTGAATGATAATTGTTCGGGAATGCCGATTTCTCACTTCCGACATTTTCAATAATGTAAGAAACGCTTTCGGAAGTAGACTGTATTATTGTATGGAACTAGATGGAGGTTATTTTGAATACTTCATCCGTTGATTGTGTTGCTATTGATATTACTTTTGTTGATTGCCTCAATAAAATGAGCGTGAATTTTCTGTTTTTTCTTAAATAAAACGTTCAACATTTAATTTCTCAATAACAAATGAACCAATTTCGAAAAAACTTATAAAAGTAATAGAGGGACAAAAGACCTCCAAATGATGTATTACTTGACCACCAAGTTAAGTTTCGGGTATGATTTCCATATCAGAATTAATCCCTCCAGAAAGAAAAATTACCTGTTATTTGACATTTTCGATTACGCGTCCGTTTTTGACTTACAGGGAGGTCAACTTTTCGTTGGAATGCCCTGTATAGCTCAAACTGTTCAAATATATCAATACGAGGGAGTAATGAGTAATGCTACGGTATAAATGTATCCCTATTATGTCAAAGCTTCTTTTCGGGTTTGTTAGCCCTGATCAGCAGGTTCCATAGCTTACGTGTCGTCTACGACTGCGGTAGACATTGTCAAAGGTGATGAGGCCACGAAAAAAAACAGGGTTTATTCTCACAGCTGATACTACCATATTGGAATTTATCTCCTGTTTTATTCTATTGATGTCGAGAGTAGCTTCGTTTCTATTGATTAGATTGAAAGGCCTCCTGAGTATGCAATTGAGGACAGGTAGGCAGATTTCATTCACGTTCACTCTTCTTCCTTTCTGTTGAATTTTTTTGTGCCTATGAATTTATGTTGTCTCCTTATTTACTTTAAGATTGGGTTCTGTATTTGTGTTACTCAGAACGAAGTAATATGGGTGCCTTATTTGAACACGATTGGCTGAAGTCCAAGGCGATTTGCCCAAGACAAAAATTCCTCTTGTGTTTAGAAAACTGGCAACTTTTCGTGGTTTTTTTGAGTTTTTGCCGAATGCGCCGATTAGACTACATTACTATCAGGATTGCCTTATATTTCAAGAACCCAGAGGTGTACAATTATAGTTATAAAAAGCGTATCAATAAACAAATATGAACTAAACCTACCGTCGATTTGAGAAAGACTTGGTTGTTACAAATCAACTTTTCATAAAATTTATTGGAAATTATCCTTTAGAAGAAATACATTTTCGAATGAAAGCCATTTTGTGAAGTTTTTATTGACGTTCTTAAGAGTCTTTTACTTTTCACAATCCTAAAAAATAAAAAAAAAGTAATGGACGATTTTATTTATGTGTGGAAAGGTATTTAAATTATGATTATTCGGATCTGTTCCTTGATGAAAATTGATAACCCTATCTATGATAATAATTATAGAGTTGAATTTCACTAGTCCGCCTTCCATTGTCTACTATATAAAATTATTTGAAATCACTGAAACAACTAAAAAAGAAGAATTGAAAATGAATAGCTGAAAATAACAATTAAATATTGGCTATGACTGGTGAAAGTGGCGATCGCATTGGCAGTCCCTCATCTTGTGTAAAGAATTCGTCCTTCAGTTGGAAATAACAGTTTCGTACACAGCATCCTAGTAATTCCATGATTACTTCTATAGGTAGATTCGTTCTCTCTTTCAGGTTCCCGTCTTCGGATAGCTTTCTCTGTATGATTTGAGACGTTTACGACGTACTGTACCTAATTGTTTTTATGTCGAATAAACAATTAGGTACATTACGTATTGTTAAATTAGGTACAACAATATCGTATAGCGTGTTGTACCTAATTGTTTTGTTCTACCTGTTTTTTTATATTGAATAAATAATTAAGTACAAGTTAATTTTATACAACGTATTCTACTTGTTTTCTAGTACCTATTGTTTTGATTTCGAATAAACAATTAGTTACAATGCGAATTGTACAATTAGGTACAATGTGTATCAAACAATAAGGTACAATCTCATTGTGCCTTACTGTAGTTGAGGTACAATCTTATTGTACAACGTATTGGATACAATTGTGTTGTACAACGTATTGTACTATATTGTTCATTGAAAATCCACCTATTTACCAGTCATCCAATAAGTTATCTACCGTCATAACTGTATCTAATTTCATTAGGAACGCGTTTCGCGTTCTTAATGAAATTTATTTGCGAACCTTTTATATGATCATGAAAAGGCATTTAAATCAATGCGTAAACCAGCCACGCTTTTTTTGTGTGAACGAGTTTTCATTGATAACTTGTCCTATGAATAGATAATATGTATTTTGAAAAATAACAGTGTTTTATCAAACAAATCATTTCAAATTTCAGGATACCTTCAAGGTAACTTCAAGATGTTTTGAGTATAAAATCAAAGGATTCAGGTACTTCTTGATGACAAATAATTTCTCCTCTAATACCTGTATATTCATTGATTTCCCATTCTCATAACATATATTACATTATAATATTTGAATCATTTGATTCTTCTTAAAAGTTAATGCTCAGACAAAGTCGAGATTACCGTATTCTTCAGTAATAAAAAACTAAACTGAAGTAATGAAACTTTCTCGAAGTATTTTTTTGAAATAAATATTTTGAATAATTTTCTACATTGATCATTCGACGTATGAAAACTGCGGTATCATTTCACAATTAATATTAGTTCATTCCCAATATTATTAACATTTACTGAATGATCCATTGACCGTGACGATCCATTGTTATTATATAAATAATCACACTCAATTGGGTCGATCTTTTCATAAATATTACCTTCATTTTTGAAAAGTTTTAA